CTCTTGAGTCTCTTGACTCACTTTTCTCTTCTTGTGCGAGGTAGGTACTCCGTCGTAGCGAAGCCCTAGCGTACGGTGCAGTCTCGTGCATCCGCCACATCCGTATCAACGGAACCTCTAACTCGTGGGGGAGGTAGGAACTTCACGACTCGTGAATGGACCTATACGGACTCGGCAATCTTGCTGGCTTAATACTCAACTCGCCCACAGAACCACTTTCTTGGTTCTTAATCTTTCTTTCTTTCTCTATGGAATCAGGTATCGTACTTTTAGTGTGCACACCCCCTAACCAGGATTCCAAGTCCGACGAGAAGTCTCCAACCTAGTAACGCGGGAATATCGACCTTGTTACTTCTAAAATATCTGTCAGTTCGCAATGTCTGTTTCTTTTCTCAAACTTTCTTTCTCTCTCTTTTCTTCCAAAAGGACATAGTCCTAACGGTCCTCCAAAAATACTAGAGTAGAAGATCAAATTTATGGAGATAAAGGTCACACACCTTCCCATGGTCAATTCTGATCATGCACCACTACTAATCAGATTGTCCAAGCATGTGCAAAGCAGCCACGCCAAAAGGTTTAGATTCAACGTTGCCTGGTGCACCCACCTAGATTTTCAGGCTTGCATCCAACGTAGTTGGAATATAGAAGACAAACTAGAAAGGAACAAAGACTTGTTGGCAAAAGAGCTTGAAGCATGGAATAAACAGACCTTTGGAAATATTTTCCAAAGTAAGAGGCAAGTTCTTGCAAGAATCAGCGGTGTCAAACGAAGTCTGGCAGACCGCTACAGACGTGACCTCATTAAGCTAGATCGTAAGCTACGTAAAGAGCTCAATGAAATCTTACTCAACGAGAAGAGTGGATAGTTTCCGGTGACCGGAATACTTGTTTCTACCATGCAGCCACCTCTGCTCGTAAGTCATCCTCGAAAATTAAGGGGCTTAGAAATAGTTCTGGTGATTGGGTCTCAGATGTGGAAGCTATCATGGATCTCATTCGCACCTACTTCATTAATCTGTTTTCTGAGGATATTGAGACCTCACTGGATGACTCGATTAGTACGGGATTCCCAATATTACAAAGAGCTGACTGGATCAGCCTAAACAGAACCTTCTTTGTGAAAGAGATTGAGGAAGCAGTATTTGATATGGCTTCGTGCAAAGCTCCCGGCCCCGATGGTTATCATGCCAGTTTCTATTAGAAGTCTTGGAATATCATCAAGGAAACCGTTACTAAGTTTGCTAAATTTCTATGCTACGGGAAACCTTCCCGATGAATGCAATGAAACTGTGATCTCTCCTATTCCAAAGGTGCTGAATCTAGAACAAGTAAACCAGTTTTGTCTAATTGGACTCTGCAATGTCTCCTACAAGATATTAACAAAAGTAATGACTTCAAGACTTTAAAATGATATGCGCAAGCTGATTGGTCCTTTCCAAACAAGTTTTGTTCCGGGGAAGCAGATAATGGATAATATCCTTGTATATCAACAAGCCCTACATTCTATGAGACCAAAGTGAGGTAAGGATGGATGGTGATAAGTGCCAAAGACACTCATGTTTAAGGGTCTTTAAGGGGATGTTTTGTACTCAATTGCTATGATTTGTGTTTGATTTATGGTTTATTATGCTTGAATGTGCCAATGTGCTACAAAGCTCCACCATACTTTGTACTTTTGTGATTTTGAAAGGGATTGAGCTCAAGAGATAGGCATATGGGCATGATCCGAAGAGTCCCGAGAAGAGAGCAAACCAGAGCAGTTCAAGGACCAAATCACGCTCGTGGAGCCTCGTGGATTGGAAACAAAAGGTTCCACGAGCGTGGCACTCTTGTGGTGTGGAAACAGAAAGGCCTCCGAGCCTGATCCACGACTCGTGGGGATGAACACAAAATCGCATAAGTGAGCGATCCACGAGCATGGGGGCTCGTGGACGGGAAGCAGTGCACAGTTGAAGTGTAAATGGAGGGGAAAAGTTATTTAAATGCCTAGATTAGATTTAGAAAGGGGGGATTAAGACAACTTTCAGATTACACATTTCATTTTCCTATTTTTGGAGCTCTAGGTGTCTCTAGCCCTCTTGCATTTGATTGAAGAACTTTTGGAGAAGGGAGCTTGACACACTTCCAATCTAGGAGGAATTATAGAAGTGAATCTCATTTGCAATCAAGTTTTGATATTCTTACTTGCGTTCTATCTTTAATTGTTTTGTTGATCTTGAATGCAATGTTGATTTACCAAGCTACAATGAGTCGCTAGATTCTTGTTAGGAATTGAATTGTGATTCTATTACATGTTGCTAGTATGAATTGTAATTCCTAATTAGGTTATACATTGCAATTGTATTTGTAATCTTGTTGTGATTTGGTGTTTTGTATGCATTTTGTGGAGTCCGGCCAACTCCCTAGATAGTTCTAAGCAAGAGAGATTGCTAGATCAATTGAAGCTCCATACCAATTGCATTTCCTAGCTTTAAGATCTGAAAGGCATAAGCTAGGAATGGGGTGAAGACCAAGTGTTTGACGAAATGTTTCTTAGGACTGTAGTCACTTAAAGGTGTTTTACAGCAAGAAGAAGCCTAGTACACCGAGAGGTGAACGGTGCTTGTAAAACCTCACTTGTATCCATCAATTGCAATGTTATAACCTAAGGCCTAAGATACTAGAATCATCGTGTAATAGATGAGCAATTCCTTCCTATCTTCTTTAATTGAGCTCCAATAATTGTTTTTGTTTTTTTTGCTACAACCTCAAATCCTTGCATCTTATGCCTTTATGAACATGTATATGACTAGCATGATTCTAATTCCTTGACTCAATGACAACCTAATGCTTCCACATTGTCATCCTTGAGAGAACGATATAAATCCAGGGAGTGATCCCGCAAATCTTTGATGCACGCAAAAATGCTAAAACCTCGTCAGATGGTTGATAATCAAAATAGACTTAGAGAAAGCCTATGATAGGCTATCATGGAGCTTTATAAGTTCTACCCTACATGATGCAAGTTTCAACCATGAATGGATTAGAAATATAATAGCTTGTGTTAGTACGTCTAAGTTGGCAGTATCCTGCAATGGGAAACTTATTGAATGGTCCAGGCCCGAGAGGGGTATACGACAGGGTGATCCAATATCACCTCTTCTTTTATACTGTGCATAGAAAGGTTGAGCCATTTGATACAGCAGGCAGTAGACAAGGGATCTTGGAGTGCATGAGAATTACCATAAATGGTCCATGTTTGAGCCATATTTTCTTTGCAGATGATTTGGTCTTCTTTGGTGAAGCTTCACTATATCAAGCGTCGGTGATTAAAAATTCCTTAGTGAATTTTACAAACTCTCTGGGCAGCGCGTTAGCTACACAAAATCGTCTCTATTCTTTTCAAGGAACACAGATATGGAGATTCAACAAGCCATCAATAGCTGCCTTGGCATCCCCATAACAAAGGATTTGGGAAGGTACCTAGGTGTACCATCCATCCACGGTAGGCTTAAACAACACTCATTTGCAGGTCTAATCAAACGAGTGCAAGACAGGTTGGCTGGATGGAAGTGGAAAACCATATCACTAGCAGTTAGAAGAACACTTTCAATTTGTGTTGTCTGTGATCCCTTGTTATACGATGTAGTCGACTCTCTAATTCCCAAAATGGTCCTCCGACTATGGCCTTTTCTCAAATTGGTTCCTTGACTTTTAATTGCACCCAAAGTGGTCCTCTGTTAGCTTTGATGTTAAATGGGTATTAAAATGAAGGGCAAAGGGGACAATTTATATTGTTTGTTGTTTAGACCTTTGACCAACCCTTTTTTTTTTTGAAGAAGTGTCAAATTGGCCACCTAAGTCATGTGGATAGTGCAATTGGGTCACCTAAGTTAAAAAAAAAAAAAAAAAAAAAAAAAAAAAAAAAAAAAAAAAACTCCATTCAAGTCCCCTAAACCGGTAAAATTGTTCAATTAAGTCCAATTTGACTTGTTTATCATGTTAAATCCATACGGTGTTGACACGTGTCCTTCTTATTTTATTTTTTTTTAAAAAAATGTTTTTTATTAAAAATTAAAAATATTATTTATTATAAATTAATAAAATAATTAAAATAATAATAATAATAATAATTTAAAAATTTTAAAAAAAATTTATAAAAAAAAAAAAAAAACACAGCCACCAGCCGTCTGGCGCTATCTTCCTTCTTCACGAACAGCCATGGCGGCACGGCCACAGCCCTCTAAGGAAGACGGTCATGGTCGTCTTCTAGATCTGGACGAGGGCTACGGCCTTGGGCGCCGCCCTCATTCTAGACGGAGGGGACTGGAACGATCTGGACGAGTCCCCTCCGTTTGGAACAAGGGCGGCAGCCAAGGCCGTAGCCCTCGTCCAGATCTAGAAGACGGCCATGGCCGTCTTCCTTAGACAGCTGTGGCCAGACGGCCACTACTGTCCATGAAGAAGGAAGACACCGGACAGCCAGTGGCTATTACGGAGTATTTTTTTAATTTTTTAAACTAGTAGGTGCACCCGCGCGATGCGCGGCTATATATATAGTATGATATATATACAGTATAGAAAATAGAGTATTTGAACCAGAAAAAATTTGAAATGAAAAACTTGTAATTTTATTACACATGGATGAATTTAGTAATTTTATTAGACATTGTTGAAGACTTCATGTTGTTTTTTATGGACATACTTGAGTTATTTGAGAAGATGGAGAGCAGAAACAGAATCGGAAAGCAAGAGTGATAACAAAATGCAGCTTGATTTCAAGTATGAAAAAGATAAGTTTCGAACTTACCTTTATTTTCCTCAGTTGGTTTCCTTTTGATGCCTATAATTGTTGACTTAGTAATTTTCTTCATTGTACTGTGTATTGTGTGTACTTGCAAAAGTAGATGTCAATTCTCTCTTTGGCTGATTGTCATGGCATAGGATAACATCAACGGGAATTGCTTCCGTTGAAATTGAAGGCAATCTTGGATCTGACGGTGTAAGTGACATTCTAGGAATTAATTCTCTTGTTCCTGCATTTGTCCGCACATGATCTTGGCTTCCAACACGTGATCAGCTAACCTAGTAACAATCAACCTTGTATCGTTGCATAATCCTAGTGTGTGATCAATATTTCTCAAGAACATAACAGGTGACCCAACTTTCAATGTCAAAGCATGATTTGGTACTCCAGAACATCTCAGGTCATTCAAGAATTCGGGAGTGTGCAAATCTGCTAACATATCAACATTTGAATCTGACTTACAAACGGAATCACAACTCAAGTAAGTCCTACCCTCAGCCGGATTATGATCATTCATGTATTGGTTAGTGCTATCTACCACATCCAATGATGGAGCCAAAATAGCACTATCATTAAGATATGACAGATCACCAATCCCCAGTCTAAAATGAGGGAACGGTCATCATCGCACTTCAGCAATAAATATTCTGGAACTGTAATATCTGACTCACCATCACTTGAATTACCAATAGTTATGTCACCTATATTAGCTATCCATTTTGCAAACTCCTCAATCTCTTTACCCTCGATTTGTGATTGTACACTTCTTAGACGTAGATTATTAGTTAGCCTAAATACTTTCCAGGATTTCCAAAGATATGAGGAACTACTAATGCTCGCCCGAACAATATCCTGTCTTGTACCCTTTGGAATTACTGGTAGAATCTGCCTGAAATTGCCACAAAAAACAACTGTTTTACCACCAAATGTCATTTCATAACTACTTGGATTTTTGAAGCGCAACAAATCCCTCATAGTTCGGTATAGGGCTTCAAAACAAAATTTGTGCATCATTGGGGATTCATCCCATATTATCTACTTGCTTTGAACAATAAGCTCTGCTAATGGACTGCCGTGACTTATGTTGCAAGTGGAATCTTCATTAACAGATATCGGTATGACAAACCGAGAATGTGCAGTTCTTCCACCTGGTAATAAAAGCGAAGCTATGCCGCTAGATGCAACATTTAACACTATTTCCCTCTTAGACCTTAAAGCGGAGGACAATGCTCGCCACAAAAACGTCTTACCAGTCCCTCCATAACCATAAACGAAGAATAACCCGCCAGCTTTGCGATCAATATCTGTTAACACCTCATTGTATATGAAATTTTGCTCTTCTGTTAACTGCCTTACCAATTCCTGGTTCTCTTTCTCCTGATCCACACAGTCGTATGATAATTCTTCTTGTATAAGCCTGTTTGATATAACATTAAACGCCTCAAAATTGACCGTTGGCATTTCAGGAAAGTCGTTCAAACTCTTACCATGAATTGATAACAGCTTTTCAATCTCCACCAAATAAAATTTAGTATGCGTTTATAAAAAAATAATTTTAAACTAAATAAATATACATACATACATACATACATACACACACACACACACACACACACACACACACACACACACACACACACACATATATATATATATATATATATATATATATATATATATATATATATATATATATATATATGCAAGTACCAAACTTAACAAATTTCATACTGAAAAACATAATTCAATTTAATGAATAGCAACCTAAAACAATGGGTGTATTAAAAATTAATTTTAAAATTTATATACATATAAGTAGAGATACATATATTTGTGCACCATTTTTAACCTACATTTGCCTAAATAAGTAGAGATACATATATTTGTGCACCATTTTTCAAAAATACATTATTAATTTACTACAATTTTTATATAGTATACATCAAATAAGTACATTATGGTATATATAATAACATACCATATATGTTTAGTAAATTAAAGAATATAGTATATATATCATAACTAATAAGTCTCAAAATTGTCAACCTATATTTGTATGTACAAAAAAATGGCCCAAATCCTATATATATAAAGCTAACCTCACCTTACAGTATAGTAGTTGACTTATTTCTTTATCGATCTCTGAGTTTGAACCCTAACCTCGGTAATTTAATTCTCCAAAACGAAATTGTAGTGGGTTTCTGATCTTTGATTCTTAGGCTATGTTCATTTCGTGATGTTGGTCTCCCGCCCTAATTCTAGAATCTGCTTAAAGCGAAGTTTAACTATTATTTCCTTTTTCTTTTCATTAATCTATATTCTGTAGTCATTAATATGTACTATTTAGCTATGCATGTATATTTAAATCTAGATCTGTGTTAGATACAAACCCTAGCCTATGGCAGAAAACTGTAAAAGCACAGTCCATCTGCTTCAATTTTAAAACAATATTTTTATTCGTTTATTCCATTTTCTAGTCATTTTCATTCCATAGGTAATTATTTTTGTATGAAGGTACATTATATAAAATAATGTATTCTTAGTATATTAAAAATGTACCTTACGTATATAAATAATGTATTTTTAGTATATTAAAAATGTACTTTTTATTTATGGTTCACACAATTGTGTGGACCATGACCCATGTAATAATGATTGCCTAAATTTCTTTTAAAAAAAAATGTATAGTGATATGAATAACATTGCCTACATCCAAAAACAATATATAAATAGAAAACAATAAAATGTATATACACAACTTAAGAAACATTTACAATTTGTCAACACAGTAAACGATGTAGAGATCGATTTGTTAAACATTCCAAAAAATTACAATTTGGTGCATTCACCGTAGCAGCTTCAATTCCTTCCGTAAAGATGTGATTATCGGACAATACAATTGCATTTTCTACAAATATCAAAATCAATAGTTTAATTTATTTAGAATAGTAAAATGAACAACAATGAATTGAATTTATAAACTATTAAATTATTCACAAAATTCATGAATTGTGTAAATTCTTGTTCACTATATAATAATAATAATACTTCCGTACGAATAAAAAATACGGAGTAATAATTAACATTAAACAATGAATGAATAATCTTGATAATAATGATGATAAAAAAAATTTAAAAAAAAAAATTGATAACAATTCTCATTAGGCCCAAACATCATTGCCCACAAGTATATATATGTAGCCAACCCGGTTCAACCCAGCTTCATCCCCATTATTAATATTTATTAATTTATTAATATTAATGTTAATATTAAAAATTAAGAATATAGATAATATAAATAATAGATAATAATATTAAACTCCCATTTCTGCGCTTCAACCCGCGATTCCTCCCTCATTTCTGCGCTTCGTCTTCTTCGTCATCTTCGTCTTCTTCGCCAAACCCAAGAAATTTTCCGTCAACAAACATGGAGATGAAGCCTATGAAAACCAAAACACCACTGCACTCCGTAATCCCCAGGTTCAACCCAGTCTTCTACCCCAATACTGCCCTTCGTCTTCGTCGTCTTCCTTACCAAACCGACTAATCAGTGAAAAAAAAATACTCAACATCCATGGCTATAAACAGGCTGTCTACATCATATGGTAAGTTCCAATCTCTTTACTTAATTAATTAAATAAAAGCCCTAAATTTAATTAAATAAAAATCCTAAATTTAATTAAATAAAAACCCTAACTCTTTATCTACAGATCTATGTACATCTGAGAGTGTGAAAGAAGGAAAATAAGAGCTTAAAACCACTCCAAAGATTTGACGGTGTACATGCAGAGCAATCATGAAATTGGAAAGCTCCTCTCCAAAAACTCAGACAAAATTGATAAAGGTAAATATATTCTGACCTAAAAAATTTATTAATTCTCCTAAAATTTATCTTTCATGTCTGAAAATTTGTATAAAAATATATTCGTAGCTAAAAATAACTTATGTATGTATTTGGCTGTGTAATTGTTTTTTTTTTTTAAAGAGTCGGTAACTATGTAAAATACAAAATTTAGAATTCCTATTTGAATAAAATCTAAATAAAATTATAGATAATTGCACCACAACTGACTGGATATAGAAAGCAAAACTAAGCAATCTTTATCTCCCATCACTAAATGATAAAGAAAAAAAAAGAATTCAGGCATATTATTTTCCTCTAGAGTCAGTATTACTCAAAAGTGCTGCAGTGCAAAAGTTGTACTTAAAATTTGATAGTTGAATGCTGCAGTGCAAAAGTTGATTTGGCTTCTACTTTTAAAATTTTTATATTAATGATTGGTTGTACTTAATTGATTTCTGTTTTTAATTTATAACAGTTTGTTATTTCACAACCTACACAGTTCTTCATGCAGTTTTTTTAAAGATGTGGTAGTTAAATTCTACCGTGCATAAATCCATGAGTTACATTCAATTTAGATATTATAATTGTTTGGAGTTAATTGAATTTGGATTTTATATTACAGGTTCAAATTTATTTCAATAATGGTGGATATTTCTTGGCATTCAAGTGGACAATGGTGATGACACAAAACTTAGAGGTAGGTACTATGCTGTTTAAAATTTCATAATTATAATTTATAATAGTTGCTTGATTATAATATATGTTGGACTAAATGACATAGTTTACCAATTTTGTAGGTCTCAGTTCAAAACTCTAAAATGAGCAGAAAGTGGAATCTTTGGGTCAAGCAGGTACTATGGTGTTTAATTTATTACAATTATAAGGTGCAATATTTTCTACTTATACTATAGGTTGGACTTAATGAAATAGGAATCCAATTTTGAAGGAACTCAATTCAACCATGTCTGCAGAAAGTCAAATATGTGATTCCATTCAACAAATTTGAATGGAATCACATAAATCGTCAAAAGGTCATGCATTTAAAAGGTTAATTAGTAATACTATAATCCATAGGTAATTCGACCCAGCCTAATTAATATATGATTCACTACATTAGGTAAGTGGTCTTCGCTTACAAATTATAGAAACATAGATGCTTTTATTGATCATAATCTTAGCTTAATACATCCCATAGCTAACTTACACAGTGCTAGAAACTCATGATCATTCCTTGATACTCATAGTAAACCAAAAAAAAAAACTCAAAGTCTACCTAGGTTTGGTTCTTGTAGATTCTTCTAGCAATAGGTCTTGGTCAGTCGACATGAGACCTGTTGAATCAACCTAACCTGCATAGAAATATGTTTCTCAAAAAATTAAATACACTCAAACTAAAAATAAACCATGACTACAGGAATTTAGAAGGTACTGGTATATGAAATGTCTTCTTTTAATAGAACTAAGCCTAAATATAATATAGTACATAGAATATTACGTATAATATAATAAGAATAAGAAACCATAGGTATTTAGAGCAGTCAACTTTCATATACTGTTTTAAAAGATGTTTTGTATATGCTACAATAAAAGTAGTAGCACATCCAAGTTTAGTTACCTCTGCAGAATCTTCAGTTCCTTCATCATCTTCTTCAATCATCCTAGATATAAGATCCTTGTCTTGGTCATCATTGAGGTTTGAACAGTAGGCAGATATCAAGGTTTCATCCCTTACAGATTTAAAGATTCAAATAGATTAGTAACAAAAAACAGGTTAGTGCACATCAGATCAATTCTTTGGCATATATAAAAAAAATGAATAGATAATTAAACAAATTAGTAACTAAAATAAATAAGTAAACAGATTAATACAAAAAGAAAATTAGAAAATATTAGAATAAGAAAATATTATTCTATTATGTTACTGCAAATCTCCTATGACGTTCAACTGTTTCTCTTTGTTCTTTTCCTTTGAATAAAATATTTGGCTTTGCAGTATATGTGCTCTCATAGAAAGTGTTGATAGTTCTTTTGATAAGCATAAATTCATAATGGAGCAAAAAATGACCGGCATTCATACATTTAGAGTTGAACTGTAAAGAAATCACAATGGGAAATTCCTAATGTCTTGAGCTTGTTGTTTCCTTTTTCTGCTTTATTATTTATTTCATATAAAGTTGCAATGTACCAATTATTACAATGTGCATATTAAGGTAGATTAATTTTAGATTTAAATTCTTTATTGTAGGTTGATTTCCAGAAGTCAAAACAGATTAAAGATATAATAACATTTGAAATATTGACTCTGTATGAAATAAAGTTGTTACAGAAAAGTTACTGTCAACATAGATAACATACACCTATTACAAAAAACATAGATCTATTACCAAGTAATTACAGTTTGATTTGTAGGGTTTCTTTACCTATATAACTTCATGATTTTGAGAATCATCTTCCAGCAGTTTCTCCTAAGACTGAAATCCTTGTCTTAACTAATTAACTTCAAGCTGTTCAGGACAGTAAGTAGACAATAGAGTTGTGCCTGTACTTTATTACCTAAACCATTAAAAAGGGATTAGAAATCCATAAGTATTGAGAAAAAAGGGAATTAAATGTTGTA